CAGTCATTCTTAATATTATCTGTGTCTAATCTCTTTTTCTTGATCCCAAAGGTTTATCTATTTTATTAGTCATGTGAAAGAACCAGCTGTGGTTTTGATTCTATAATTTCATTATGTTCTTGTTTATTAATTTTTGCTCTTTATTTCCTTTCTTTGAATTCTTTGTGTTTTGATCTACTTGTTACTTAGAGGTGCATTTAAAAAATTCCGAACATGATCTTTTTGTTATTCATTATTACTCATTTAGAACCTCATTGCATTCTTGTCAGAAAATATGGTTAATATGCTGTTCATTCTTTAGTACTTACTTTTTGACCTAGTTCTATATGTTCCTGAAAATAACTTTTAGGTTTAGGGCTCCATATGACATTAAATATAACCTACTGTGTTATTCAAATATTATATACTATTAAGCTTTTGCTTGCTTTTAAAAAATTAATAACTGAAAGATATGTTAAAATATTGTGATTTTTGTCAATATTTCAGTAATTTTAATTTATATAATTCAAATGTGCATTGCAATTTTATATCTTTCTAGTAAAGTGTTCCATTCTCATTATGGAGAGCCTTTTATCCTTGATCATGCGTTTTTCAGTTAGTCTTTCTAATCTAACCTCGATAAAACTATGTCAGCATTCTTTTTTATACAACTCACCATAGGTTGACCATTCTTTTGAATTATATTCTTTTTCTACCCTTTTCTTTTTCTCATAAATGTCATTATGTGATATTTGATGATAAATATAAAAACATATATAGGATATGTGGATGTTGTCTTAGTCCTTTCAGGCTGCTATAAAAAAATACCATATAGTTGGGTAGTTTACAAACAGGAGAAATTTCTTACAGTTCTGGAGGCATTTTTTTCTGTTAAATGTCTTTAAATATACTTTGTTTGTAGTCTCTTTATTTGATAATTCTGTTATCTAAAGTCATTGGGGGGTTTAATGTTGCTATTTATTGCCTTCTGACTTTTACTTACAGTGAATTGTTTCCTTGTATATTGTTGTTATTTTGAGTTGTGAGCTCAACTTCATTGGGGTTTTATATGTGGATATCCCATCCAGCCTGAGTTAAGGTGTATCATTTCAGAAAGAGATTGCTTTCTGCCAAAACCCCAGAAATATTTTTTATATTCCTAGGATTCCCAGCCCACACAGGTAGAGTAAATTTGATTCCCAAAGTGGTGAGAAGGCAGGTCTGTGGTAAGCAATTCTCAGGAATAACTTTTATTCTCTGTATCCAGAGTCCAAGCTAACACAATCACTAGAGCAGGGGTTCTCAAACTACATGTGACCTGCCAAGGACATTTATCCGGCACGCCAGGTGTTTTTTTGCCACCGCTGCCTGTCCTGCTTAGCAGCTGACTCGTCCGGGGCCCACAGTGCGCATGTGTGGAATGTGCCCGCACTCTCCAATGGCCCTCCAAAATGGTCTGAGGGACAGTGAACTGGCCCCCTGTTTAAAAAGTTTGAGGACCCCTGCACTAGAGGGTCCATTTGTTTCCTTTAGTTTATCCTTTCATTGAGAGTGAATCTCTTTAAAGGTCCTACCTTCAAATGTGGCTCTCAATCCACCTTCTCATCTTGCAGGGGCCCAAGACCTGTGTGACCTTTAAAACCCAAGCATCCTGGTTACAAAGACCAGGCCTGTCTTTCTTTACTCCTTGGCAGTCACAGGGCATCAACCACACACAGTGTTATTCTTAAATTTCCTGTTTTAGCCCGTAGGGATAACCCTTACTATACTATCTTCAAAGTCAGCTATACATTTCAAAGGGTGTTTACTGTGTTTTATCCAGCATCCCTTACAGTTTTTTAAATCTTCCAGGCTAGGAAAACGTTTGCCATAATTGCTGGAAATGGAAGTCCAGAAAGATGTTTTGCTTTTTCATTATGTCAAAATATTTTTAACATTAATTCATCAAAACTGAATACTCTGGCTGTGGTCTAAATATTTCAGAACATGACTTCATCTGGGTACTACATATCCGCCAGATGTTTTTTCCTCAGTTGAATTATATCACACTATTATGGGTACCATTTTTTACTTAAGGAAGCTGATGTTAGTTTAAGGTCACAAGGCAAGGACCAGGACCAGAACCTGGAGCTTTTAAATGTCCATTTGGGGATATTTTTATTATATGTAAAGGGGAGCAGTGGGATAGATGAAGGTCTAAGGGAACATTTAATAAGTAGCTACTGTGTGCTAGTTCTATAATACATGAGATATCTAATAATAGCTGTATAAGACAAGTCTTATTCCCATGTTCACAGATGGGAAATTAAAGCTCAGAAAGGTTGATTTCACCGAGGCCATTGGGTAGAATTATACCTGAATTCAAAGGTGAAATTCACTATAAAAATCCATTTTCAAGCCAGGTGCACTGGCACATGCCAATAGTCCCAGCTACTTGGGAGGCTAGGAAGGGAGGACTGCTTGTGCCCAAGGAGTTCATGTCCAGCCTGGGCAGCATAGCCAAGACCTCACCACTAAATATATGAATAAACCGTTTTTTCTTCCATCTACATCAAGGGATAGCAAACTTATTCTATAAAAGGCCAGAGAGCAAATAATTTAGGACTTGTAGGCCATATGGTCTCTGTTGTAACTATTTAATTTTACTGTTGTAGTATTAAAGCAGCCACTGAAAAATATAAACAAATGAGCATGGCTGTGTTCTCATAAAACTTTAAGGACATTGACATTTGACTTTCATTTAATTTTTATATGTAACAAACTTTTATTTGGATTTTTTTTTTTGAGACAGAGTCTCACTCTGTGGCCAGGGCTAGAGTCCCATGGCATCAGCCTAGTTCATAGCAACCTCAAACTCCTGGGTTCATGCAATCCTTCTGCCACAGCCTCCCAAATAGCTGGGACTACAGGCATGTGCCACCATGCCCAGCTAATTTTTTCTATATATTTTCAGTTGGCCAATTAATTTCTTTCTATTTTTAGTAGAGACGGGGTCTCACTCTTGCTCAGGCTGGTTTCGAACTCCTGACCTTGAGCGATCCTCCCGTCTCGGCCTCCCAGAGTGTTAGGATTACAACTGTGAGCCACCACGCCTGGCCTTACTTGGATTTTTTTTAACCGTATAAAAATATAAAACCCTGCTTGGAAAAATCACAAGTAGAGGGAAAAAAAATATAAAACCCACTCTTAACTCAAGAGCCATGCAAAAATAGGCTGGATTTTACTCATGAGCCATGGTTTGCTGACCCCTGTAGTATGCCATACCACCTCTTAAGAAAGCTTCTCCAATGTCTGTTTCAAACAATCCTTTACTAGGTTAGGAAAACACATGGAAAAAGAGAATGGGACATACTCTTTTTTTTGGACCCTAGATGATTGAGAGTTGTTACTACACAGCCCCTCAATTTGTGCTATAGCAATATGCAGTTATTTAAATGTCTTATTCCAATGGTAAATGTCTTTTTGTGTCTTAGTCTATCCTTAAAATTAAATTGTAAGTTTAGGAAAGATGACTTTTAAAAATTTTCCTTTAATCTTTAATAATTGATGTACAGTAAGTGTTGAGTAAATATTAACTGATAAATATTTATCAGATGCTGCCAAATACTGTCCTCCTCCATTCACAGATATTAAATAGTGGGCACAACATATAAGCAATTCCAATGAAATGAAAAACAATAGGCTGTATATATAATTTAACAAAATTATCTTCTTTTTTAAATTTAATAAAAGGGACAATTCTAAAAAGTATTTTTTGGCCCTTTTTTCTTCCAGTAATTAGAGCATTTGCATGTGATTACTAAGTCTGACCTTCCTTCCTTCCCCAGAACCACTTTGGTGATCTGGATGGCGGCCACTACACTGCTTTCTGCAAGAACTCTGTCACCCAGGCCTGGTATAGCTTTGATGACACACGAGTCAGTGAGATTCCAGATACTTCAGTACAAACCGCTACAGCGTATCTCCTGTTCTATAGCTGCCAGCCCTTTTCTATACCTATACAAAAATGCAAGAGCTAGGAAAATGGTGTTTCCTCAACACTGCAAAACAAGCAATCAGAAACTGGTGGTAAAGTTTTGCGTTGTCATTAAACTCTTACAACTTACTTGCATCACTAACATTTTTAAGTCTTTCTAACATATAGTGCAACCTTTTATAAGGTTAGTCTATAGCAAAGAAGATTGAAAAAGGCAGTGTGAAGATAGTGCAATACTAATGGATAAAGGCCTTCAAAGCACTGTAGATTACATGTTGAGTTCAAGTTTCAAAATTCAATGTTTATTAGTGTGGATTTCTATCATAAAATATCTCATAATTGTATATATTCAACAAATTATTTTCCAAAGATACTTCATGGAGTTAAACAAAAATAATTTTTGTTCAAATGGCTCTGTGAACTTAAGAATGTGATCTGAAAATATTTAATTGATACAATAATTTAGTCAAGATGCTGTCTTAAACTAATTGTAAAACATGAAAAATTGACAAGACAACTTCACAATTCAGAACTCCTCCTTTAATCTTCTCCCTGAGAACCTGCTAATGGTGACATCTTTTAGAAGCATTTTAGCATCGTATTTTTATATGGAGTGTTTACTGACATTGTATACAGCAGCTGAGTCCCTGAGGTAAATGATAAATTCCAAGCTCCTTTCTCTCTTTTAATATATCACTCTGTAAAGATGTGGTTCATGTTGTACATAATGAATAATTCACTTTGCTATCCCTTTTTGCCTTAATAGTAAGAATTAATGTTCTTAATCCTAAAGAATTTTTGAGGACTCCGCTACTCTGAAGAGAATGAGTCTGGGTATTAAGTTATATCTTTGACTTCCAACTCTGAGAATCAGAAGTGCTATACAGAGTTCTGGTGTCAAATTGAAAGAACAATGGAATTGAGTCCTGATTCAACAGGATAAGTGCACTAAATTTAAAAACAATCTGGTGGGATAAAGTGTGGTATATAGTGTGTGTCTGTATAAAATCTATGGTTCTATTGTCCTATGTTTCATAATACAACATTAAATTATTTTTCTCATAAAGATTTTAATGTAGGTGTAAATGAAATTCTCATTTTAAAAGAATTAAAGAAAGTTTCCATTTATTTTTTTTTTTTAGAATAAAGATTTAGTGCACAAATACAGCCCAAAGCCAACAGAAAAATAGCTTTGCCCTGTCATTTCCCTAAGAAAGCACTGCAGTTACTCAGAATAGGCCCAAAAAAAAAAAAAAAAAAAAAAAAAAAAAAAGCAATCCTCTGAGTTCTAGGCTTCACGAAAGGACCACATGTTAAACCATGTACATCGATTTGATGTGCAAGTGTGCAATAAATATGTACACATACATGCCTATCTGCTTTACATCAGTCTGGAGTATTCATAGTACATCAAGCTGGGATTTAGAAATGTAAAAAGGCTTTAACAGTGAAAAGGGAAAAAAAAGGGATACAATGGTTTTGAGATTAGTAGAATAATAATGCTTAGCTAGTTATTATTTTAACTTTGGAGCAGACTAAAAAGTTCTTTTGAAATAAATGGTACCTGTAAGGGATGCTTACCGCAATACTTGTTAAATGTTATTTGTCAGTTTTTGATAATAGCACTGACCTGAAGTATATGGTACTAGTAACACAGCTCCCGCTGCCCTAGGGTTCCTCTAAGTGGCCGGCTACAGCTATCCATTGTCTTTATAAGCATTTCAAGAGTTGTGTTGCTGAGACTTTTAAAAGATAACTAGCTTATAACCTATGTCTCTTTATGTGGCTACATCAGTTGCTCGTGGTCCCAATGAAGTATAAAAGAGGATATAAGCAGCTGAAGATTTCACAGACGAAACAGAGATATCAGAAACTTCATGATCATCAAACTTAAACCACCGCTGTCTCGCTGCATTTTTACAGTAGGCAGTGTAGTGGCCTCCGTCCAGCCCGCCGTAGTGATTCTGTGCCAAACAAGACAGAAATCAATTCAACTTAATGCTTTGAAATTGACATATTTTACATAACTTATGTTGTTCTTACTCTGGGAAAACTCCTGGTGGTTTTGTTAGTTTGCTTTGAAACAAGAAGTCTTTAGTTCAAGGAGATACTTACTGAAACAGAAAACAAGTTATATTTCTTCAAATTGTTCTTTGGACCAATAACATATTGTGACAAGTCAAGATTTTCTAATGGAAAATCCACAGATGTCTGTAATTTTTGCTTCCACCTGCCGTCATAGGAAAAACTGCAGAAGAAAATATTACAACGATTATTCTGATGGAGAAAGACATCCAAATGAACCCCCCATCATTTGTTCATTAACATCCAGATTTTTAGCCTGGACGATAAAATCCATTTGGAGGAACCCGTTAAGTACATTTAGTTTCATTTTCATTTTACAAATGAGGAAACTGAGGTACAGACACATTAAATGACAAGCCCATGGTCAAACAGGATGGCAGCGACCACGCTCTGGTCCCCTGATCCCTCGGCCAACTACAACTGTTAGATGAGTCTTCTATAGACGGAGAACCCACATTTATAGTGTTAGGCGCTGCAGAAGCACAGAGGAAAGACTAAGGAGAGCTGCTCTAGATTTTCTGGGAAACAAGAGCCAGAAATTGTCAGTAGGCAGACTAATGACTGAAACAATAGTATTCCATTCTGTCATAGACTGCTCCTTGCACCAAAATAATAGTATTTTGGTTAGCATAAAATGGTTATTTCAGAATTATTTTTAAAAATCTGAATTCTGAACTATATATATTTTTGGATATCCTCCAAGAATAATATTCACCATTAAAAATTTGACAGTACAAATGTTTATAGAATGTTTATACCTCTACCATCCTCGAGAGTAACAAAAGGACAATAGAATGTAAAAAAAATTTACATGAGAAATCTGAACATATCAATGTTGAAATTAATGTAACTAAGAATCTGCAATAATACAAGATCAAACAAATTTCAAGTAAAACAGGAATGCTTTCTTTGAAACAAAATTATAGTTCAATAAAAAGGTGAAACTTCCTTTAAAAAAGTTTTTCAAAAAATCAATGCGGAGTCATCAGTACACAAAAAGATTAAAGACAAAAAATCATAGCAAAAGATCTGGTATTTTATAACTCTTGCCATTATTCCTTCTACCTACAAGACCAGATCTTTTTCATCAATTGGAAAAATCTGGACAAAACTATGCCTACACTTAACAATGGCACCATTAACATATTTTATCGTTAAAATTATACTTCAAAAAAATCATAAATTTCATTTTCAACACATAAATCTGTTTGCTTAGTTTGCTGTTCTGCATGTTACATTTGTTAGAATTACACTGTAAGACATTTTATAGGTATTAACTTGATTTGTAATGATTTATGATTCTTATATCTGAAATGTAATAATTTAGTTTTACTTTTTTTTTTAAGAAACTGAATCATAAGAAATTACAAGTAGTAGTGGTATTGTTATTTTGCTCTTGTATCGAAGACACTAAGGTGAACTAATAGTCTTATCATTTCTGTCTTATTTCCCCAAAGCTACACTAGCCAGATAATCTTCCTGTGTTACATACCCTTAGCAGGTAGTACAATAAGTGTAAATTACACAAGACTTAGAATTTCTTGATCTAAATTTTGCTGAATAGGAAGAAAAATTTTCCCTTTTACCGTTTCAGATGCACTAAAAGCACAGGTGGCAACTTCCAGATTTCTATCTTTTTTAGAGAATCCCGTCGAGCTTTGCAATGACTGCAGTAAAATCTGTTGTTATCTGTGAGTTTTTCTTCTTTGGAAAATAATCTAAGGCAATCCTGGCAAAAAAAAAAAAAGTAGCAGATACTCAGAAATTCATTTATTCAACACAGTATCAGAGAGAACCTATTCAACAAGTCACTGCAGACACTAGGGATACAAAAGTAAACTAGAACAAGAGTTCCTGCCCTCACAAAGTTTATGATCCACTGAGGACGTAGACAAATGCACAATTATAATACAGAGTGTGGTGAGTGAGTACTAGCCATGGTGTAGGGAAGAGGTTCTGTGTCTCATGATAGCACACAGGAAAGACCCCTAACCTGGCCCTGGTGGATCAGGGAAGACTTGCTGGAGGAATGACATTCTGCAGGAAGCTAAGACTAAAGGTATCGACAAGCTAGTATAAAAATCACATTGTTGATGTGTGACAAACAGGATATTTACTTGATATCTCCATGTAAAGCAAATGCTTATAAAAAGCAGACCTAAGATTAAGTCTACATAGAACTTTCCAAATTAACTTTTAAGTCTTCTTAAAAATATAAACTTTCTTCTCACTCCCAAGGTCGTCAAAAAAAACAAAAAAGGAAAGAAAAAGAAAATATATAAAAAAAACTTAAAAACATTAGACAGCTGTAAAAAAAATAAATAAAAGAAAAACTTCTAATTCTAATCTATAAAGGCCTGATTAAAATAATTTTTTTTTGTGTGTGTATGTGTGACAAAGTCAGTGCCGTGGCGTCAGCTTAGCTCACAGCAACCTTAAACTCCTGGGCTCAAGAGATCCTCCTGTCTCACCCTCCTGAGTAGCTGGGACTACAGGCATGTGCCACCATGCCCAGCTAATTTATATATATATATATATTTTATTTTTTAGACAATTTAATTTTTATTTATATTTTTTCTTTTTCGCAAAAACCCACAGGAAGCCAATTAATTTCTATTTATAGTAGAGAGGGGGGTCTCGCTCTTGCTCAGGCTGGTCTCAAACTCCTGACCTTGAGCAATCCACCCAGAGTACTAGGATTATAGGCGTGAGCCACCACACCCAGCTTTAAAATAATTTATGTAGAGAGGGGGGTCTCCCTCTTGCTCAGGCTGGTCTCAAACTCCTGACCTTGAGCAATCCTCCCAGAGTACTAGGATTATAGGCGTGAGCCACCACACCCAGCTTTAAAATAATTTATGTGTCAGTTTTACAAAATGTTTATAGGGGTAAAGACCAGAAATTCCTGAATAAAGTAACTCTCTGTATCCATATACACTGCATTTTTATCCAACAAATCATTTTCTATCTTAAACTTACCTGTAATGAACATTTACTTGTGGATGCTAGTGGTAGAGACAAATACATGAAGGCCTCAAATGTCCTAGACTTTTTGTGACAGGTGAGGCACTGTACTGTGGATTTGAACTGACCCTGGAAAAGTGCGACAATAATAGATTCATTGAGCTGCTTGTGTTTCTGCCAAGCATGTTCTGCAGCTTTAAAGTCATCGAGATGATCGTTATTTTCTTCTTTATGTCTCTTCCGATTATCAGCCTGGAAGTAAGATTGTTTAAACTCTATATTAATAACATTTAAATATAAATTAAAAGAATAACATTAAATACACACACTTTGTAGACTGAGAAACACTTGTAGTTCTCATAAAGCAGTTCTCATCTCACTGAGGGCTGCAAAAAAATCAATTCTGGCCAAAACTCATTTTATCAAGAGTGCAACTTGTTGGAATTTCATAATAAATTTTTATTTTAAAAACTGAAATGTTGAGTTTTGAAAAGAAGATATCCCACAGATAGCTGCCAATTAGGGCCCCAACTAGACAGATGTAATTTCGTTGCCCTAGCCTCAAGAACAAATATACACACACATATGTATATAAAAATTCATGTGTATGTGTGTAAATATGGTCAGTAGTAAAAATGGTGACCCCAAAGCTATCTGAAAGATGACAGCCTGTTGATAAAAAGAAGCAGTAGTATACAAATGGAGGGTAGTCATTTACGTATAGGTATGTCTCAATAACTATTCATATGAGTCACTGGTTGTTACATGGAGTAATTCTTATTTTAGAGAAAATAAGGACATATTCCACTTTCAGCAAAGGACTGGGAGAAAAGAATAAGGATATAGCATAATATAAATATTATATTATAAATATAATCTATAATAAAAATGCTCAAACTCTGTATAGCTAATCTTATAAAATTATGTTTATGATCTTACTTTCACAAAAGTTCACAAACACCTCCAACTATTTTAACACTTGCAAATTTCTCAGCAATGTTACCTGTTACCATTTAAGTAAATACCAATTGTATATATTTCATTTCAAATATTACACTTATCACATATATTTTATAGCTCTGTCTTAGATAAAGCACTATATTCACATAAACTAGCACTGAATAATGACAACTAGAATTTTAAATTGCTATGAAAATGACTACAGTGCTACTAACCAACCCTAAAAAGCCTTTGCAACATAGAAAAATCAAAATTTCTTACTTTATTTAGATCTTCATGGAGACCATCCATTAGGAACAGAAGCAGTTCTTGTGAATCTTGCTGGCTGTACCCTGCAAACTGGTCATTGATCTTCCCAATGGTGATTTTAAAGTCTTTTGGACTGATATACCTATACTGTCCTGTCCACAGGGCTTTCATGATTATACCAAATTCTTCTGCCACTTCACCTTTATGCCCCAACAAATTTGACCTATGTAAAAGAATTAACATTACAAAAAAGGCAATAAAGGAAAAATTTTAAAGGTACAGTGGATTCTTGATGTCAACATTGAACTATTCATATACTATAGCCCTCCACTGAAAACATTTATTCACAGGTTTATTACCAAACACTCGTCTGAATTTTACTTTGCTTACGCCCCTCCAACTTTACTCTTTCCTTTTGGCTGCAAACTCTGCAGGGTCTCCTCATCAACAGGCTCCAGATGACAGTGAGGTTCTGTCTTCCTGCACTGCTCTTTTCCTGTCTGTCCTTTAGTAATCAGAGAAGGCTTTTCTCTACATTATTCTTACAAATAAAGATATTTTCCCCTTTCCTAATTTGACTTCTCTGGAGCTGGGTGGTAAGCCCTATGTCTAGAATGCATCCTTTCCAAAATTCAGGTGTTACCCATGAGATGGTATTAAGAAATGGGGCCTTTAGGGAGTAATTAGGCCATGACAATGGGATTAGGCACCCTCACATAAAAAGTTTGTTTTTCTGTCAGTCCACGTTTCTGCTATGGGAGGTTATAACAGGAAGGCGCTCCAGATCCAGTACCTTGATCTTGGCCTTCCCTGCCTCCAGAACTATGAGAAAATAAATTTCTGTTCCTTCTAAATTGCCCAGATATTTTGTTACAGCAGCATAAAATGGACTAACATAATAAATGTGGTTAGATCATCCTTTAAACATTATGATGCAAAAAGTAAGACATTTACCTATTAATATCATCCTGGTAACAGTTTCGGTTAAAATAATCAGCTAAATGTGGAGCATTACATAGGCACTGCAATATTGAGTTCATATAACAAGTATTTCCTAAATTACGAAGTCCGGTGAGAGCTGGTCCAGATCCTCCAAAAACAGGATTCAGGTTCCGAATCTGAGAAGCAGAAAGCCTTGAGATCTCAGCTTTAGGGTAGCATGTTGGCCTGAGAAAGAAAAAGTATACAAGATGTCTTAAAATGTAGAGCACCTGAAATTAAGGTTCATTCTACAAATGGCAACAAACTCTAACACCTGTACCACAAGAAATCTTATAAACAGTTAATATGTTAACTCATAAGGTGCTGGGTTTTATGGGACATTTAGTATCTAGGTTAACACTGGTTGTATTCTGACACTCTCCCATGAAACATATACCTTTAACTTATGTGGGTCCATGGTTCTTAGAGACGCCCTGGATAGATTCTCTAGCTTCTCATGAACTAGGAGCTCCAGTAGAGAAGGCTCTTTTAAACTCTTTTAAATGATCCCAGAAAGTCTGGCACTATCAAATGTCTGAACTCAACAAGAATGCCAAACAAGGAATAAAAAATATATATATTACTATGGAATAGATATTAAAGGAGGCAGAGGTTATTTGGCTATTGTTACCTAAGGTCTAGAGGTATGCTGACTAGCCACTGGTATCTAGTCAAATTTAAATAAAACTTCAGTTCCTCAGCTGCACTAGCCACGTTTCAAATTGGCCAAAAACTGTATTTGCTAGCACGGATACAAAACATTCTCATAGCCACAGAAACAGCTATTGGACAGCACTGGGCTAGAGAATGCCTCTTAAGACTTTTATTATGTAGTGTATTTTATTTATATGTGGAACTACTAGAGCTGCTGTAGCATTAAGGAAAATCTGGTAGGTCTTTTTTCTTTTATTTTATTGATCACCAGCATTCTTCAACCCCTAAAAGGAATACTGAGAACAGCTGCACACACTCATGTGTTCTCTGTTCAGTACATAGAAAAATATACATGAACTGCATGTCTTTAAGATAGCCTAATTGTAATCCCTTAGTAATTAAGAGAATGTGTATAATAAATGGAAAACAAACCCATTTATTTATGCTTTTATGTATTCCCCCCTCTCCTCCTCCCAAAGTCAAGATTAGAAGTCATACATAGACTTGAAAATCATCTCCTCATAGCCCTATCAGTCACAAACCAGGAGCATTAGAGGACTGTAAAAGCAATGAAGCCAGGAATATATCTAAATGCGATATTGTTTGGGGAAACTTGATGAATCTACTGGTCACCAGAATAGCAAAAATACAATGAAGAAAAAAGGAACAATAAGAATTAGAGGCTGATACACTACAAAGCTTGTTACTTTAATACTACAGAAAAACTTCACTCTCACATTATTGGCTAAGGAAAAAAAAAGTTTGGAACTTGAATGCTACAACAAGGCAAACTGAACAATCCTAGGGTTCTCAAAGGGAGATTTAGGGACCATAGGACGTCTATGAAAAACTTATGGGCGTTGTGTGGCATGCTGCCATAAAATACAACAACATATGTACTTTGATATTATCTACATTAACACTTATGATAATTCCTCTCTGGTATGATATTAAATTAGCACTTGGAAGAAAAACCAAGGACATTTTCTCTATTCATTTGCTTTTTTCTCCATAATAAATAACAATGGCTGGTACAGCCATCCATAAAAATTTCTGATTCCCTGACATTAAAATGCTGATATATTTATAGCAAAAGTTTTCAAATATAGCACATTTTTAACAGTCCTAGTAGTTAGGATAAACTTACTTGTTTTCTCGATTAACTGTTGGAGTTACTGTTGCCTTCCTCTTCTCTTCCTCTTGAATGGCCTGGGTTATATCTGGGGAGGAGTAGGAGCGCTTGAGTTTGGACGGTTCTCTGTCTCGTTCAGCAGGAATCTGTGGCTTGGCTTTATGAGTTGGAGGGGTAGAAGGAGGTGCAGATGAAGGAGCCATTTCCGGTGGATACATATGAACAGTGTTGGTGGGTGAATGATAATAACGAAAGGTTCCGGTGATTGGGTCAAGAAACTTAGATGGAAAAGAAAAAAAAAAACAGGTCAAAACCCCAAAATGACAACTATATAAACAAATCACTCCAAAGTATTCTACTGCTGAACTTATTTTTGGAAAAAAAAATCATTTGAATAAAATGGTGATCATCACTTCTATAATTAAACTTCAGAGAAATTTCGATTTTAAGTAATATACTGTTTGTAAATGACAAATGCCAGGATGTTCATATATTGTTGACAGTAACCCAGGGTGGGTGTTGAGAAATTTAACCCTGCTATAATTAGGGGAAAAGGCTATGTCCACTAAAGAAACAAAATTGACTTTATACTAGAGAAGATGTAAAATAAGCAAAATAAAAAGTATTTTTTAAAAGAATATAGTGACTACATTATTTATTCCAGTGCTATATTTGACTTTTACCTTGGCCCAGCCTGAAGGCAGTCCTGGTACGATCCTGCCCATTTCTTCACTTCGTGCTCTTGTCAAAGGCTCTCGTTGAGACTAGCATAAAAACAAACAAATAAATCTGATTTTTCAATTAAATTTGTCATATACAAACTTAAGCTATTTGTCCAAAGAATCAAAAAACTCTGCCTTGGCCGGGCGAGGTGGCTCACGCCTGTAATCCTAGCAAAAAGTCTATACATGTTAATACAGATGCCACTTTTTTCCCCAAATATTTTTGTTTGGTTGAATCCATGGATGCAAACCCACAGAAATGGAGGGGTGACTGTACAGCTTTTGCATCTGTTTTCTTTCACTTAACATAAGTTTTTGGCCGGCGCGGTGGCCAGGCCTGTATCCTAGCACTCTGGGAGCAGGCAGGCGGATCGTCAAGGTCAGAAGTTAACACCCTGAGCGAGACCCCATCTCTACAAAAATAGAAAGAAATTAATTGACCAACTAAAATATATATACAAGAAATTAGCTGAGCATGGTGCACATCTGTAGTCCCAGCTACTGGAGGCTGAGGCGGAAGATTGCTTGACCAGGAGTTTGAGGTTGCGTGAGCTAGTGATGCCATGGCACCACTTAGCCTGGCAAGAAAGTGAGACTCTGTCTCAAAAAACAAAAATAAACAAACCATAAGTTTTGAGATTATCTATGTTGTAGCATATATCCGTAGTTCATTCCTTTGTATTGCTGAGTGGTATTGCATTGTGTGGACATACTGCATTTTATTCATTCATCAGTTTGATGACTTTGGATGTTCTACTTTGGGGCTATTAAAAATAATGCTACTATGAATGAACATTCAAATATAAGTCTTTCTGTGGAAATTTCTCATTTCTTTGGTAAATACCTAGCAGTGGAATTCTCTGTGTTTTGTTTTCAAGAAACTTTTTTAAAAACTTGCCAACGTTTCTAAAGTGGCTACCCCATCTTACATCTCCCAGCAACATGTGGTTCTCATTACTCTACATCTTGCCAATACTTGTTGTGTCTTTTATTGTAAACCATCCTAATGCTATGAAATAGTATTCATAATTTAATTTACATTTCCTAATGAGTAATGATATTGAGCATCCTTTCATATGCCTTATAGCCATGTGTTTACCTTTGGTAAAACACGTATTCAGATCTTATGCTCATTTTTAAATTGGATTATTGCCATGTTATTACTGAGTTATATGAGTTTATAATATTCTAGATAAAATCTTTATCAGAATATGACTTACAAATACTTTCCCACTCTGTGGCTAACTTTTCATTTTCTTAATAGATCTTTTGAAGCCGAAAGTTCTGTGGAAGTCCTGTCGATTTTTTTATGTGGATCATGGTTTTGGTGTTGTTATCTTAGGAATCTTGCATACTATTATTTTCCTTAAAGTAATTAGTTTCTCCTGTGTTTCTTCTTAAAGTTTACAGCTCTAATTCTTACAAGTAGATCTATAACTATTTTAATTTTTGTTATTACAGTGTAGGTAATCCTAAATTCATCTTTTGCATGTGGATATTTGTCCCATTTTCCTTTGACAGAATTTCTGATACATTACAGATTTTATTTATTACATGTTACGTTCAACAGAGTGTGTAATTGAAGACAGAATAAAAGATAGAAATGGGTGCTTTCTATCAGGCCTTTTGGTATTATTATTAATTTTATTTTAAAGAGTAAATATATCCAGTCCATACTGAGGTTGATTGCCCTTAATATTTGGTCCTGAGCTGGGCACAGTGGCACATGCCTTATCATCCAGCCAGCTACAGAGGAGGCTGAGGTGGGAGGATCACTTAAGTCAGGAGTTCAACAGCATAGGCAACATAGCAAGACCTTTGCTCTTTAAAATACATATATATACACACACGTATGTATGTATGTATGTGTCCATATTTACGTATATAACATTTCATCAGTATTTTGTAGAATGAATACATATACAAGAAACGTAGGAGTACAAGAAACTTAAGATAGATTTAGAAATAGGCCATAATACGAAATTTCAGCCTTTCTTGTTTGCTTCGATCCATTGTCCTCTCCATGAACTACCACAGAGTCCAGCCATTCTCCACCCCACCATCATTACGCTTGTGCACACATTCTTCTTTCCTTTAGTGTAGTATATATTTGGATTTGAGGAAGAAAAATAGATGTTTTCTTATTTTGAACCTGTTTTTAAAAATATGAAGTTCAGCCAAGGCAGAGTTTTTTGGTTTTTTTTTGAGACAGAGTCTCACTTTGTTGCCCAGCCTAGAGTGAGCGCCATGGCATCAGCCTAGCTCACAGCAACCTCAAACTCCTGGACTCAAGCAATCCTCCTGCCTCAGCCTCCCAAGTAGCTGGGACTACAGAATGGCACCATGCTGGCTAATTTTTTTTCATATATATATTAATTGGCCAATTAATTTCTATTTATAATAGAGACGGTGTCTTGCTCTTGCTCAGGCTGGTTTCGAACTCCTGACCTCGAGCAATCTGCCGCCTCAGCCTCCCCAGA